TCATAAAATATGTCGAAAAGCTACTACTATTCGTCTATTTAGTATTTTCTAGAACCTTATGTCAAACGGTAGACAATTTTTCCCGAAATGCTAGTTTTTGGAAAGTAGGCCTCTTGAATGTTGCTCTTTTCAGAATATCCTGACAAATCCCATAATTAACACAAATTAACACCTTACTCTTACCATATTTCATTTCTTATTATTCCTCCGCAGTTCAACAACCACGACGCCGAAGTGTACGCTCCGTAGCGTCTTGTTCATCTAAGCTTTTATTTCTTTTGTTCTGAAATATCTTATTGACAAAGTTATGGTAGTTGCCAAATCCAGGAGAGGGGGTGTAGTAAGAAATGCCTTGAAAACTGTGATCCTTTACAGTCTCACAAATATTGCTTTACTCAGCGAGCAAAGGAAGTTGTTCGTGGATACTGCATTTTGCTTTCGGGATATTGAGTTTTTTTCGTAACTTGGCCAACGGGCAGTGAAATTGTTAAGGGAATTCAAATTGCAAAAGAATTGCTATCAGTCCTGCTCATCAAAAATTTTATCAGGCTACTCAAAAATGATATTTGCTAGTATAAGATAGCTACAGTTTGTCTAAATGGCAAGCTGTAAAAAACTGACTTACTTTACACCCTGTTTACTGCCAGTTAAAATGACTACTCGACCAGTCTTAAGATGTCACGTGCTCATAATAATTTGTTGTTCATAATAAAATATTATTTCAAATCAACAATTATTATGAACAACACATTGGAAATTCATTTTAGGTTTTGCTCACATTAGAAGGGCAATGAGTGGTTACAGAATAGACAACTAGTAATATCTTGTTAACAAAAGTTACAGTAGTTGACAAATCCAGGTGGATGTAGAAATAAATGCCTCCAAAGGTGAGATCACAAACTAGTTGTCTATTCTGTAACCGCCCATTGCCCTTCTAATGTGAGCAAAACCTAAAATGGCAACAACATCCTCCTGACTTGACAGGGTGTAAATTCCAGAACGTGTCTCCATGAACCATTTTAGGTTTGATTTACGATTCTCAGTTTCTGAGGAGACAATCCTTCCAAACCAAATCTGTCCTCCTCGGCCCAGAACTTTGACCTCATCACCTTCCTCAGGATACACAGGGACTGTCACAGCTTTCGGGGGAGGACCATCAAAGTCAGTGGAGTGGGAAGATAGAAAGATGGGTTGTCTTTGCTCGCTGGTTCAGGATAGGGAAGACACTTCCCCTTTAACTAACTCGCAAATTGTACAGTATCACTGCGATACTGATAGGGTACGAGCTGCACTGTTTCAGTCCATGGGTGCTTTACCACTCTGCCATGGTTGAAGACGGGGATATAATATGTGCCATTAACAAAAATGAGGTATTTGTTCATAGAGACACCAACAAGAACTATCTGTGAAATTTTCAAATACCACTCTTCTGATAGTGATGGCCCACCAGGTATAATACAGAAGTCACCCTTTGAAAACTTCATGACCGCTCCATTGCAGTTAACTTAAACAACATGTTTTGCACATTTAGCCAGGGAGGGAATGACAACATGACGGTACCAGGGTGCATTTTTTGGAGGCGCCTCTTGATGTCATTTTGTTGATACTGTTGTATGGCCATCTTTTTCAATTTTCCAACCAGTACTCCATTTTCAGATGCATGAGAAAGGTGCTCATTGTCATGGCCACTGCAATCAAGAAGTAAAGCTTTGGCTGCCTTAAAGATGGCTCATGGAAAAAAAATGGCAGATTGTACATTGTCCAGGTCAACAGAGTGACATTTCTTCCCCTCTGAGTACCTTGAGAGTTTACCGTTGTGAAGCTCAAAACTGCGTAAAAAGAGTCTAATATTTTCTCTCTCCGCAAGTGTTCTCTCAATACCCTTTGCATTGTGAGTTTGCTACTTGTGAACTCGAATTGCTCGCTCAAATACTTCACATGAATAGTTGTCTGGACTAGAGTGACGTTTAACATCATCACATAAATGTGTCGAATACTCCAGATTTTCTGTACATATATGCAAACCATAGTATTCCTCGGCAGCTACTGCATGCACCCAAGTTAAGGTTTCCAGAGCCTCAACATCTACATTGCTCCAACCTGATAATTGAACTGACTTGTTGTAGAGCAGAGCCACCATGTTGCATAGCAACATGTGCACATCATATGCGCGGCAAGGAATATTTTCTGCCAAGACTTCACGTGCCTCTTGGTTATACCTGGAAATGTTAAAAAAAGGGAATAAGTATTTGAATAAATGTTATAAGTAACAGTAAATCGAAAGTAGGTGTACATGTATAGCTGTGCTTATTAACATAAAAAGAAACAATTAAAGTTTGGATATTTATCACCTTTAGATCCAGATTTTCAAGTGATTAAAAATTTTGGTTACATGTGCTGTATATTATTGTCATTAAGTAGACTTTAAAGGAAAAATAACAGTAACAATACACCAATTTTATTAGGCACCAAGATCAGAGTAATCAAAAGAACAGGTTGTGCTCCTTAATAATAATATTACCAGTCAATGTATGTAGTTCAGTCAGTCAGTTTGGGGCAAAAACAGTAAAGGTTATTCCAAAATTTATTTAGTTTTCGTTCTACCAGTAAAAAAAGACACTATGCCCTTTGATTTTAGGTTTTGGGGATACTTAAAACTATTGCAAGAGGGGCTATTGTCTTGAACCTTACTTTCACTGAGGGAAGCTAACACATACAGTGTACATGTACTTGAATTATTCGTTCTATACAATACAGGCCCAAGCATTGCAGCATCACATGCGTGTTGCATGCATGGAAATCCGCTATATTGCAAGCATATTCCACGAGAAAAACACGTGCGGAACATGCTGAAAGCAAAATACACACAAATTAGGACAATTTGTGTGTGAAATTTTACACGCATGCAGATTGTTATTCGCGTGTTTCAAACTTTTGAGACATGTTCAAGTTAGTATACGTATGTTATGTTATTTGGGCTAAAAGTGATCCACGTTTTTAGACCGAATGAGTATTGTACTATGCTTGAATCTTCATGACTTTGCAGTTATTACCGGGAGATTATGATGATCCAATTACACTATGTAAACATTATACCGTTTGCTACCTCTTACACAAGTAACTGTAACGTTTCTTCTCTTCTGGTTGTTTGTGAGGTTTTAGCGAGTATTATGTTCTTACTTTAAAAACTCAGCCTGTTTCCAGCTACCAAGTTTATCTGTCAAGTGCTTCATTTTGGCCACACCACTAGCCCTCTGTTCAGTTGTCCACTTCATACATTTGAGTGAATCAGAGAAATCCCCATGGAGCAGTAGCCCCCCAACATCTGGATCACGTTGATTGACATCTTCATTAATGTTTTTCTCAACATCAGCCCACAATTTGTCAAGGAATTCTCTCTTCAACATGTTGAAAACAAGGTGCATTCTGTCAACTGTCATGTCATTTATTGGATCAAAGCCATAGAGACAGTACAACTCAAATAAGCAGCTGACACCGGATTCTCCAGATTCAGTTTGAATTTTCTTTCTTTGGGAGGTAGTTAAGGCTTCATCACATTGCTTGCCCTTGTCTAAATGATAAGCCACAGTTTTCAATTCTTCTCGGTGTCTGAATTTTTTTCTAAAATCCCCATAATAGTAATGGCGTCTTGCTGGAATGTATGTTCCAATCACACAGCATCGCCTACATCCACATTTTCTACCTACAAAATGCAGGACAGAAACATTGATCTTATAAAAGAGTTTTTATTAATCATAGGCTAGCCTGTTTTTCATAGTAATTGGATTCCTTGTAAGTGCAACACCATATTGTTCTAACTGATTGCACAAGGAGCATCATCTCTAGAACTCACCTTATACAGAGTCGTTAAAGTACCATGTAATTCATTTCAAGAGTTCCGGGTATTATACAAATTTGCAACCACCTAAGCATTATTAACACAGATCACAGACTACATGTACAAATTTTGAGACACGATATTGATCTGCAGCTGTACTTCTCAGATACTAGCAGCCTCCATTTTTTAAATAAATTTTAAAGGGTAATAATAATTCAGTCCTACATTGCAGACTTTATACAGTTTCCCATTAAAATATGTCTAATTGTTAAGGACTTAAGTGGTGAAAAGAGCCCTGGGTACAATGAGCAAAGTACATTGCATTTTAGATCAGCGTATCAATTTTTTTAACAGTATTAATTTTTTTTTAGAGGGGGCCCATTAACAGAGGCCCCTTTCCTTGATTAAGTAAGTCTAATGTATCAAGTAATGAAGAAAAATAGGCGATGTTCATTTCTGGCTCATTTTGGATGGCAGACCTGACTATCTCTAACAAGATTCCTCAAATATGTAACTGAGTGCAACTGAGTACTCATAACTGAGTATAATAATTACAGTGTATTCCCTGTATCGTACTGTAAAGAGACACCTTTTATGTAAGGAATTAAAACATTCTGTGACTTTATTTCAGGAGATGCAAGTTTTGTTGGTCTAAGACACTTGATAGGAAAATGACATTAGAGATGAAAGGACTTGCATTTGAGGTGAGACTGTTTCATACTTGAGCCTCAGTATGGGAAAAAGTCAGGATGATGGCTATTGATACAGCAATGATTTCAGAGAGTTGCCATATATTTCCCAGTTGTTAATTTATAAACAATCAAATATGTATACATACCTGAACAATAAAGTGTCTCTCCATGTGCTTTTATGTCAGCTGTTCTACATAACAACAAAAGACGAGCTGTGTGAATGCCCTTTTCGATGAAGTCATCGCCTACTTGGAGATTCTCTGTTATCGTCACTGGTATTCCTTGAATGTAATACTTCTTGACATCATCTATGAGTGGCTTATAGAAGGCATCCAGTTTATGAACAATTCCTTCTTGGATGTAACATGTGGGCACAAAGCTGTATACTTGAACTGACTCTCCACGTGACCTTTGTTCTTTGCTTATACAAGCGCTTGCTAATTGAATAGTGGAATACTTCTTGTCTTTTTTTAAAACGCATTGAATCCATCTTCCTGGAAGATGAATGCTTGGTTTAGAGGAGATCCTTTCATGAAATTAGCAGTAATCTCAACTTCCTCAAAACACTCATCACAAGTCATTGTGAAAAGATCTCCAGTTCCAGGCTCATGCATCTGTAAAAACTCAGCAGGAAAAATACATGTCGAACCACAGTTGGGACGAAGGCTCGGTAGTGAAGTCTCCTTTGTACTGTCCCAAGAGAGTTCGATGAACCGCGATCCATGCCAAATTTCTTTGCGGTTTGTTGTTGCGTCTTCGTGGTTGAACCACTGATCCTTTTCTTTCCAATGTTGCATATGCTGAACCAGGTATTCATTATTTACGAAAGCATCATCAAAACAAAAACCGAGAACATAATAATCAATTCCCTTTTTCCATTCCTTCCCACAATCCACTAGCCTGAAATTCATGTCTGAATCGACCGGCCGTTGATGCCGTCCAGTGACGTCACTCACTACCCGAAAACCGGATAGTGATTTTGATTGGTTGATTGTCTAAACATTCGCATAATTATGTATAATTATGAAAAATATTAGCTGGATTGTCGCTTGATATCACAGGAAAAAATAACCGATTCCCATTTTTGGATATTTTAGGGAATTTAAAGAATACTCACAAAAAACCCAAATTTGGAAGAGTGAGAGAACTCCCAATTAGGGAACTTGGTTGGGAATCCCCTGGTTGGCACTTGTCTCAATTTGCCAAATTTGGGATTTTTATGGGTATTCTTTAAATACCCTAAAATGTCCAAAAATGGGAATCCGTTATTTTTTCCTGTGTATTCAGCGGATCGCATCCCTGGCATTCTTTAGCGTAGTTCAAACATTTCGATAAGCTTAATCTTTATCTTAAACAGCAAAATTGCCCTTGTCTTCAAAACTGAAATGCTAAATTAAACTGCGAATGAAGAATCATTGCGGAGTGTCGGCAGGTTTTTCATTTGGAGCCCCTTTGTGGTTTTGGCGGCCGGTGATTTTGTTTACGCGAAGTTTTCTGAGATCAATATTATAATTCTACCTTCAAGCCTTCTCTACCTTCTCTACCTTCAAGTGTAATGATTCTGTTAGCTTTTCTTTCTTGTTTTCTTGTTTTTTTTTCTTCATTAAGGACCAAATAGCTTCTTTTCAATTAAAGCAAATCATTGTGTTTTTGAACTAAGTTTGTGTGTGTATTTCATTGCGTGATTGCCACCGCGTTTGATTATAGAATTCAGTACAACCGGTTCAGAGTTGTACTGCGTGCAGTTGATAGTTTGAACGTTAAACATGAACTATGATCGAAAAAAGTGAAGCCATTCTGTATCATGCAGACATTTCCAAACGATATTTCTCGGTTTGCCACTTGAAAATCGTGTTTTACTTTTTGCATGAATTAAAGCAAAGGTCAAGGAGTAGTGACGTCACTGGACGGCATTAACGGTCGGTCGATTCAGACGTTACTGAGGGAGTAATAACGACTCGAAGTAATCGGATGAAATTCAGGCTAACAATCCACACAACACTCTTTGTTTTCCATCAATGCCACGTGATCCTTTTCAAAACAAATTTTATAAACCCGAGCATCCTCATTGCCAAGTCCTTTCAAACATTTAATTACTGGCTTCCAGCTATCATGAGGAATGCGCTCATCTTTTAGAAGTTCGTACAGGTTCCTTAAGCCTTCCATTGTTGCTTCCTGGGACATGCCATTTTCTACTTTGTTCTTTAAATGCCGCAGTAGAAAAGCCGTGATATCCACTCCCCAAAGTCCCTGCGATGTCACATTTTCTTCGTCTTCCTGAGAGGTAACAAAATTTAAGTCGTCATACTCGCTACCCGAACCACTCACGAACCCATCTTCCAAAGAACAACTTTTCTCAACCAAATCTCCCCTTGCGCTACCCACTTCAGATGTGCCGTCGTCGCTTATAAAGTCAAGATCAGATCCTTCGCTTTCGGAATCACCTACACTCTCGGTGGCTTTAGTTGCCAAGCTATAATCAGTTCCTTGTCCACTAATATCGAGCATTTCCTGCCATGCAAAGTGCCATTGTCGCTCGGTGGCAAACTGCACCGCGACTTTGGTCACCGAAACGGATAGACTCCGACATGTTGTGAATCGTGCGCTTGAAGAGTTGCCTCGTTCTCGGGTCGAGTCAGGATGTTGGTGACGCATGTATACCATGAAGCTTTCCCGTTCTTTTCGAATGGTGAGATTTTACTGCGACTTCTCCGCCATTTGTTTGGACTTTTTTCCGTGTAAGTGTCTTTTTTATGCTAAATGTCGAATTCTTCAAGAAAATCTATCTAATGATGCTCATCTGGCCTGGCTTTCTGTGATGAACTTGGTTGTGGTTTGCTGAAAAACGTGACCGAGTGCTTGCTGCAATGCTGCTTTCGATTTACGTTTTTTATAGGGCGGTTAAGAATGGACGTAAAAGAATTTTTAGAAAAGAATGGCCTTTCGTGTTTAACTGAACTTATTGTAGAAGATAACAAGGTAGGTCTTGAGTCTTCTTTACATTGTGAACGAAGATTTAATAGCAGCCATTAACCGGGCCATTAACCGTGTCATTCTTTCAAAGTTGCCCGCATTAATATCCTCAAGATTGATCAAGCGTATAATTCAGGTTACTACGCATCAGAAGCGTAAGCTAAATTCCAGGAAGAAATTGCCGAAAGGGATCATTGGCATTTCTTGAGAAGAAACCTGATGTACTTCTATATTACGATAATTAATTTGCTAACATGCAATAGAAATTAACTTACCTTTATAGTTTGGGGCACTTTTTTACTTTTTCTTCTCTCGAGCTCCAAAATTCTGCTGGCGCTAATGCATTTTGTATTTTGACCTCTAACGAGAGGTCATTGGAGATGGACCAGGTTATTAAAATGTCACTCAAACCGAATGAGCGTTATGATCTAAATTCTTAAGGTGGTTGAACAAAATATTTCACCAGAGAAATATGTTTTTAGGACATTTTCGGCGATTTGAAAGATGTCCTTACCATTTAATAGAATCAGTTGCAACATACAGCATACACCATCTTTCGAACTTAAGAATGAGCAGAGAACAAAATTGTTTATATATTTCTTTGATGTGTCCAAAGTTATTTGTTTAATTATACAACAACTGAAAGGTTGCATAGTCTGGTTGCCAACAGTACTTGATTTAAAAGTGTAAAGTGGTGGTCAGTTTTTCAGACACCTGCGCGTGTGATAAACGCATTGACTATTAAGGAATTTGGAACACAAAAATCATACACCCTGCCAGTACACACGAACACTGAGTACAGTATGTTGCCCAGTATCCGGACGGTACCAGTATCCGGACACTTGAGACAAAAACTCGATTTTTGAGGCGCCCTTTTCAGTTCTCGGAAAACGAAGTATTTCGAATGAAAGCTGAACATTTCAGCTTTAAGAAGAAAGTTTTGGCGATTTGAAAGCTTGCGAAACAGTCGAGGAAGACGCCGTTCTGTTCAGGTGAGTAAACTTCTCATGGCTAATATTTACGCTGTTTACTGCGCAGTAAAATTAGTGCTGCTCAGAAAAGGGATGGTAATGTGAGATATTTTCAAAGAAACTGTTTTATTTTTAAAGTGAAGATACTTAAGGAAGTCAGGTTTTCAGAAAGTTTATTAATTCTTCTTGAAATTCGATTTGTTTGGAATAACGGAGGCCAGAAACATTCACTTAGTTTTGATGTCATGTGCCCAGTATCCGGACAGTTTTTTCTTTGCTGTACAGAATCGATGAATTAGCTGTATACATTATCCGGATAAGATTTATTTCATATCAGTAACTATAATTAAAGCTTAGGATATATGATATAGTTGTAAAATGTAATTCTACTCAACTCCGTATGGAAATTTTTTTCACTCATTCAGAGGCAGGCGACTTGATTTCGTGTGCACAGCTTGTTTCGCGTGACTGCATTTTCTATATATAACTGAAAGCGTCTGAGTTGAACCTGGAATTCTCAAACTTTCCCCAGTTGTGACTGCTAGAATGGGGTTGCAACGGTCTGAAAAATGTCACAAAGGGATTGAGAGTTGTGAAAGAAGGAGGAATTAGTGCTAGAAAAGCAGGCTTATTGTGGGGACTGAGCATGAAAAAATCAACACTGCAGGTCAGACTAAATAGGAGAGTGACCTTTTGACCGTCGGGTTGAGGTCCCTTCCCCAAGGTCTTTTTAAAATAAAAAATGAAGAAAGAAGGTCGTTTGCAGATTGGCTAATTGAGCTTGCAAACTGCGGCTTCGGCATGTCCACGGATGCCTTCCTTAAATCAGTGAAAAAGTTCCTAGACAAGGAAGTAAGAATTATAGCGGGGCTCCCACGCGCGCGAAGCGCCCCATACCCGTAGATTAATGGTGAACCTCTTTTCCGTTGGTTGTCACGTGATTGACCGAGCGTACGTACGGACGTACGCGTCTACGGATTGTATGGGTGGGGTAGGGGAAACTATCAAAAGGAAGGGAGGGGTGTCTCAGGCGTGTCTTGCCAAGTCCACATCTTTTACATTGGTCATTCACAATATGGTCAATTTACAGCTGTCAAAACAGGATAGCCACTGACCAGTATCCCATGACCATATCGCGGGCTCATGTGTCAACTCATTGAGGTGACGTGATTTATTTGGAAGCTGTCCGCTGACCAGTTAATTATTTTACTAGATCGCGATCAACGTTTAGTCTCATACTTTCCAGCTAGTTTGGGATCGGAGCACAGGAAAACTGATACACGTCAATGTTGTGATCCATTGACAGCTGTAAAAACAAGGTATCCGCTGATCAGTATCACTTGACTGTATCGCGGGCTCAGGTGTCGACCCATCGAGGTCAAGTGTTTTTTTGAAGTTATCCGCTGACAAGGTACTGGTTTTCAAATGATCGCAGGCTCAAGTTTGATTTTTTTTTAAATTCATATGAAATATGTTGTGTTTATGTGCCGCACAATTAAAATGTTGATTTCAAACTGACCTCGGACGCGAAAATTCAGCCAGCTGCTACAAGCAGGGAAGACAGTTGCTTTTTACTTTTCTCGCCATGTTCACGCGTTGGTCACGCTCTACGTCCAATTTTTATGCTCTGATTGGTCAAAATTTGACAGGTGAGTTCATGCGGAAAATTTATGCAGCATCTTGAATCTTGTTTACTTTGACAGCTGAAGCTGACAGAGTTTTGTGTCAACTTGTGATGTTTTTAACTTTCTTTTTCCACTGGATGTACAAAATGAAATTCAGCTGCTATCAGGAGTCTTCTGTTATTCATGGCTAGTTTGTTTATTCGGTTTTTGATTGAGTCAAAGTCGGAAATCGGTTGCAAAGTCTGAAGCGATACTGGCCTTACTTGATACCTTTCAGGAGCTGCATCTCGAGTGGTAAGCCTAAGTAATTATTGTATTTGATGTTTGTTTTTTATTCCTAATTTAATGAAGTCGAGCGTAGTTTATGCGGCTATTTTGTTTACGCACGTTTGTAAGATTTGAGACATTGGCCTTTAGACATTTTCTCACCGCAAATAGAAAGAAAACGTTTCAAAGAATATTTAGTTATAATTCTGGCTGTAAAAGAAAGGTTTGAGCGATTTTCTTGCCTCGAGTTCGTCTTTGAAAAAAGCAAACACCGGGAACCCGGCTTAAAACATAAACTTCAGCTTTAAGCTCGAAGACTCAGGATTTTTAGAGACACTTTAATACTTGTCTTCCTGAATGAAAATTGTCGTCTCTGTATATTTTTCACCGAATTATATTTCTTTTATTGATTGTTAGTACTCTCTCTTGTAATTTTAATCGTTGTGCCGATTGTTTTCAGTTGTTCAGTAAACAACGCTTCCCGGAGTACTCAAAATGCCGCGCGTTAAACCGTTTTAAAATAAAAAATAAACATAATAAATTCTTTATTTATGTTGGAGCGTAACTCTGTTAATGTTCATTCAAACACTCGCAACTGCTAGCACTGTAAAAGTCAGAACCGGCTGGCCGTATAGATGATTTTGAAAATTTTTTCAACGGTTTACGGCTAAAGCCCACGCGTGCTTCTATCGTCCTGAAGAGCAATTTGTATCGCAATATTGTGAAATACTGCATTCTGTTGTTCGAGATCTGTATGATAAAAACAGTGCCTCACAGTACTTTTTCACCTCAGATGTGATCTATAAATGATATAAAAGGTTGGTTTACACGCACCCAGATTTGTTGGCAAGATTTTGTAAAATAAACTTGTCGAACGCAAAAAATTCGGCCGGAATTTTTTTTCCAGGCCAGGAGCCCATCAAATCAAATTTGATGGGCTCCTGTCCAGGCCTAATTAATCTACGGTGATCAAGTCAGCCATTATGGCTCTTAATAAATGTGATGGAAGATGATTGCCAGTTTTTGGGTGTACTTATGAGGCTATCAACTCGATGTGAGATTTGGTTCACTCTTGGGCTGTTTGCAAATTATTTTTTGTAAAATCACTTAGCCTTTCCCTGAAAAGTCACACGAATGTGCTCTAAAGTTAACTGAATTGTGGAATACAAGTTCATTGTTTGATTTAAATTATAAACTTATTAATGGGAGCCTCGCTTTTAGCCCTGGCTAAATCTATATATTACCATTTTTAAAACAGCCGCTCTAGATTCCCACCATACCCAAGACATTTGTTACGTTTTATTTCACGATGCCATGTTATATTTTTGGAATCGATTGCCAGACTACT